TTTTCACCTTAAAACTGTTTTAAGGTTTAAAAATTGAACAAAACTTGTTCATTTTATTGGATTATCTAATCTTTATGTGGCAACTCAGTTTTTATTAGTGGCATTTTTACACCTAGATGTAGACAGACATTAAAATGGAAGTTGTCTCACTTATTTTTCAAGTTATTCAGCTCACAAGACAGATAGACAGAGACTACTGGTACGTCTAAGTTTTCTCTCTGCTCAGTGACGAGGGCCAAACATGCACAATAAAAAGCACATCTGTTGCAGATAATAATAAAAAAACTATCTCTGTCTTTTCTTTTCTGTCTACTTCACCACCCACTCTGAAAGACAGTACCTTCTCCCATAACAACTTCATAAAAAATGTTTTGGTTACACTTAAAAAAATACATTGAAAAATACATTTTGTTCAGATAATCCAATAAAATGAACAAGACATGTTTACATTATAAACCTTTAAACAGTGTTAAGGTGAAAATGTTGCATCATTAAAATTCAATTTAATTTGCACTGTGATTTATTTTTTTTTTTTTAGATTTACAACATGCTTCCTTTGATCGGCCCGTTGCTTAAAGACTGGAGGGATCTCAAGGAAAAAATTGACACCACATTAAATGACTCAAGAACTATAATAGCTGATCTGAAGGAAACTCTTAACCCTGAAGTGTGCAGATGTTTTGTTGATGCATTTCTGCTCCATAAGAAACGTCTAGAGGTGAGCAGACATTTCTTAATGTGTTCATTTCCATCCATAAATGTTGTGATCTGTGAGTTTATTCTCTTCTTGTGATACGCAAGGACTCTGGAATCAGTAATTCACACTACCATGATGAAAACCTGCTGCACAGTGTGAACGATTTGTTTGGAGCGGGAACTGATACCACAGCAACAACTCTGATGTGGAGTCTCCTTTACATGGTCAAATTTCCTCAAATTCAAGGTGCAACATTTCTGTTATCTGAATTTACAGTTTTCAGGTTAAATTGTTATTAATGCATAAAAACATTTTGTTAAAATTTATTGTGCATCCAGATCGTGTTCAGGAGGATCTGAGCAGGGTGATTGGAAGCCGGCAGGTTCGAATGGAGGACAGGAAGAATTTGCCTTATGTTGATGCAGTTATCCACGAGACACAGAGATTTGCAAATGTTGCACATATTATCTCTCGCACAACAACTAAAAATGTAACCTTAGAGGGTTACGTCATCAAAGAGGTCAGCAGCTTACAAAAATGCCACAATTCAACTCAAATAGGTTTTTTTCATTGTCGCTTTATGGGTCATAGAAATGAAATTACAGTGGAAATAATGCATTTTGAATAAAACAAAACGTTTTTTTTAAAGCCTGCTTTCTTTGACACTATTAGGGAACAACAGTTTTACCTCTTCCTGTTTCTGTCCTGTTTGATGAGAATGAATGGGAGAGCCCTTACATTTTCAACCCTTCTCATTTCCTGGATAAGGAGGGCAAATTCATCAAGAGAGATGCTTTTTTTGCCTTTTCTGCAGGTACTTTGCTCTATTTGAACAATAGAATATAACACGATTTGAACAGTTTTACAGATGAGATTATTCTTTTTCAGATATGGTTGTTGTATGTTGGTGTAGATTCTTATTTATACAGGATACACTCACTGTGTATACTTCAGAACACAACACTGTCTCTAGTCTAAACTGAATAGTGTGTTTCAAGAAGTTTGTTGGAGCTGAACTCTTAAATTACTCCTCCTCCACTCCTTCCTGAGTGTCATTAGTTGTTACCCTGGTCCATGTGTGACATGTTTTCATCACATGTGTGAAGGTGCAAATTAGTTCAGTTAAACTGATTCGAGTTTAGATTCAATATATCACTGAAAATTAAAACCTGAGACCACCTCTTCTAATTAAAGTTGGTCTTTGTCATTTGACATAAATCGTTTTCTTTAATCTCCACTCAAACCATCTGTCCTGACCTAGGAGCCTAGAGTCTTGACCTGAAGGGTTGGCCTTTCTGTGTTGCGGCTGTGGAGATGTTGAGTCTGGAGGTCTGAACACTCCTCACTGCTTTGGATTGCAAACACCACACTGCAGAGTTTGTGTTTGGATGTTTTATCTTTAGGATGAACCAGTGCCTGTCCTGTTTGGTTTGAAATGCACAAGGATGCTCTTTTATTAGTTAAACTCCTTCTTAGTTTGTTTTCCCTCCTGTCTCAGTTCTATGGAGTGTTTCCCATGTTTCTCGCCATGACAAACGCCCTGTTATCCACAGGTCTGAAGAGCATTTTTTATGTGCTTATATCCCATATTTTTTTGTTTTTGTCCTAGAAAGAACATGTTCAGTATAAATGTAGACAATTTTCTGTATGCAGAAAATCTGTGTTTCTATAGGTGGCTTATTAGAATAATGAGAAGAAAATAGGATAATTTAATTATCCAACACAGATGAGTATTGATTCTATTCCTCCATCAGTTTCACTCCATTTTGCATTTTCATGCACTTTAAATCTCTCACGTGGAACAGGCCAACAAAACCAAACAAACCTCCGGAGGGAGTGAAGGAGGAATCACTTGTTCAGTTTAAACTTTGCACTTTTGAGTTTTGATTTGAGAAAGCTCCTTAGATGAGTACAGACAACAAACAGGAAAAGCAGCTGGGTCACGTTATTCAAAATTTCACATGATTAAGAACGCGTTGACCCTAGTAACCGTTTAGATAAGGAAACACGAGGTGAACACAGCTAATACCACAGACACAGATGTAAACTCAAGTGTAGACCTCTTTAAACAATTATTGCCAAATCACTCAAGCGAGCTAATTAAACACTCTGATAGAAAATCTGTAGTATGACTTTGCCCCATCTTTGCAGGTCGCAGGGCGTGCCTTGGAGAAAGTCTGGCCAAGATGGAGCTTTTTCTAATCTTTGCCTCCCTTCTTCAGCATTTTCGTTTCACTCCCTCACCTGGAGTTTCAGAAGATGAACTGGATTTGAAACCAGTTGAAGGTCTGATCTTCACCCCTAAAGTCCAGAAGCTGTGTGCTGTCCTACGCCACTGAAAACAAGAGCTGAACCTACGTCACTGGTTGTTGATTATATCACAAAAGTTTAATACTAACACCTTTAGTGTGGTGAAGATTCATGTACTAACAATTCTGTACTATTGCAGAGACTGCATTGATAATAATGTACGGATAAATAAAGTTCATCTTATATTATGTAAAAACAATTGACCATTGCATGCTGTGATTTTTTTAATATATTTTTTTTTTGGGGGGGGGGGGGGGGTTGCCTCCAAGGAATCTTGACTTTATGGGAAATAAAAATCTGTACAATACTTTTTAAAACTAAATAAGTCAGATGACTTTCACATCACATCTATAAGTTGTCTGGATTTGAAACTACAGCTGATTCAGGTCCAAAGTGCAAACTGAAAAACAAAGTTTTCAGAGAAAACAACTTTCACATGACTTTTACATGTGTCAAAGGGCAATTATGTACAATCTGGAAAAAAAATTACCACAACTGATGTGCAATGCATAAAAAAACATGACAGAAAAAATAAACAAATCTTGATCATGAATGTTATGTAAAACAACTTCCAGTATTAAAGTTTTAAACTATAAGCTAATTGAGAATCTCCTTATTGAGTAACTTTTTCCACCAAGAATTAAGTCATGTTTTGCTTGGGGGTTGAATACTACTTTTACTCAGTGACATGCAACTCAGTTTGCACTTGTTATGTAATGAGTTTAAAACATGAAACAAAAGACTGCTATTTGCTTTGTAAATTCGCAAACTTACAAATGAGCAGAAGATAAAAGAGGTACTTCCCCCACGGCAACAAAGCCAGTAATTTCAGTAAACTGCTGTCATGATGCAAACAATGAGCAAACTAACACTTGAGAGCAAACTCGCTACAAATGAAAACAGCAAGTAAAATTGAACAAATCACAGATTTAAACATAGAATCCAAACTAAAACCCATGTGTGTATTTCTTTATTTTTATTTTACTTAATATTTTAGGCTTTCAGTGAGGCCAAAACAGGAAGTTCAGGTTAACAGATGCAGTTTCCCCCCACTTTATTTTAATCTAAATAAAACAGTTAATGAGAAACTTGTCCTGATTGTAAACCACATCAAACAGGAAGTTCTGGGTGTGACACAACTTCATGTTTTTCTTCATTCTCAGTAAACTGTCCTTTGACTGAAGTGTTGGGTTGTCAGCTATGAAAGGACTGGAATGTAGTAGCTTTAGGGCAGCTGCACGGTCCAACGTTTTGTGTCTCAGTGAGGTCAGAAGAAACTCACAGGTGATCAGATAAGGATGTTGTAAGTTAGTCCAGCTAGTTCTGGACGTCGACAACAAACTGGTTGATCCACTGTGAGAAGGTGTTATTTATAAGACTGAGTTTGTTGCAGCTCTTCAGACTGAAGAAGGCTTTTGGCTAAAAACGTTTCAACAAGAGGAATTCATCCAGAAGACCTAACTCAACCTTGTTAGATTTTTCTACCTGGATTATTGAAGCATCAGGAGATGTTGGAAGTTATTCTGCAATGCCCCACTTCAGTCTCTCTGTTTGGGCTCTTTGTTGCCCTCCTGGTCCTCCATTTTCTTTACTCCAACTTTAGTCCCCAAAGGAGACAAGAACCTCCAGGACCCAAACCTCTTCCCTTGATTGGAAACCTGTTCCAGCTGAATCTAAAGAGACTCGACCAAAATCTTTTTGATGTGAGTAATGAGTCATTTCATTAAATTTGATTTTCAAATTGCAGACAGACAGATTTTTTTTGAAAAGTGCGAGCCTCACCTTTACTTGCTTTGTGTTCTTAGCTTTCTAAAAAGTATGGACCAGTGTTCCAAGTCTACCTTGGACCACAGAAGGTGGTGGTTCTGGCAGGTTACAGGACAGTCAAACAGGCTCTGGTGAACCAGGCTGATGAGTTTGGAAACAGAGATATAACACCACTTTTCTATGATTTGACCCAGAAATTTGGTAAAAGAAAACGTTTCACTGTATGTAAACCTATTCACAGCATTGTTGTTAAAACGTATTTAAATTTTTATGTTTTTAGGGATTATATTTTCAAATGAAGACACGTGGAAAGAAATGAGGCGTTTCGCTCTGACAACACTGAGAGATTTTGGAATGGGCAAAAAGATAAGTGAAGAGATAATTATTGAGGAATGCGGCTATCTGATCAAAGAATTTAAACAATTTGAAGGTAATTCTTTTAAAACAGTGCACAGAGTTATGTACTCACAGTTAGTATAGAGTGTGACATGTACACAGCAAGTACTTTGTCCCCTGCTGGATTAACCCAATTATGAAAAAAATAAAATAAAATAAATCAGCCAGAACTTGGATGGTCTTTGATGGTCTTAGTGAAGTATTAGGAATGCAATGGGCTTTAGCTTCTTGTGATAGTGTGACAGAGACATGACGATTTTGAACATGAACAAAACATGTGTAGTGATGTTGCTGTGCTTTATGTTCATCATGGTAGTGTGGCTTGGTCGTTGAGACTTTGAAGCAGGACTGACCCAAACCTGAAATATATTAGTGATTGTGAAAAGGTCTTGGGACCAGCCTAATGCAAATGTGATACTTGTGACAATGGCATGATGCTGATCTCCTGCTGTGCTGCTGCATCCTAAAATAAATGTGCCAGTAGAGTTCAGAGAAGGCACAGGAGAGTATCTTAAGAATGCAAAAAAATCATAGGGAAAATCCTAGCCGGAAAATATTGAGCATAGCAGAGTACTTTTATAATTTGTAGCAACTCAGCCTGGCTCTAATAAGTCAGAGTCAGAAAGATTTATTTGTCATACACATCACGCGTGATACATGAGGTGGCACGAAACAATGTACGCAGGGTCCCAGTTACATCCAACAAAAACACAAATTGTAAAGATAAACATTAGTAGGATCTGAGTCATGAACTAAGAATATACTACATTCGCTAAACTAAGAATACACTAAGCACTAATGGTACAAAAACAATGCGCCAAAACAACAGCAGCACGAACACGAGTCTGTGTGAGCAGATGAGGACTAATGAACACAGCTAATAAGCTGTGTAGTTTATGTATTGGGTTAAATCCAGTGTGAAAGGAACCTTTTTATAAGTAGCACACCGCTGTCTATAGTGGGCCAAGCAGTGTGATGATTTTCATCAAACTGGTTGGCCCACTATGTGAGTGTGCTACTTAAGAGACTGAGTTTGTTGTTGCTTATTGGATGGAAGAAGTCTTTTGGATGAAAGATGAAATGTTTCAACACAAAGAAACCATCCAGAGGACCTGACTTAACTTTGTTGGATTTTTTTTACCTGGATTATTGAGCATGAACTTTGATAACCCTTTGAATGATTCTTGCTAACTAAAGTTTCTGAATTTTGTCCCAGGTAAACCCTTTGACAACACTCAGGCCATCAATTATGCTACTTCAAATGTGATATCAGCTTTAATGTTTGGAAAGAGATTTGAATATGAAGACCTGATCTTCCAAACTATGGTGAAAAGAGATAACGAGCTTGTTCGTCTGATGGGAACAGCTTCCATAGTGGTATGGTTGATTTACTCCATGATATCTGTTTTTTTATTGCAAGCAATAAGCAGTAACTAGCATTTTTGATTGTAGTCCTTACTTTTATACATAGGCACAATGCATTCTCAGAGAAATTATACATCACCTTTCGTCAAACTCTGATTTGACAGGTGTCGATCAAGAATGACCTTAAACTTCATGGGAATGACCCCAGAGGTCATCTTATTATCATTTCTCTAATATGTAGCTGGAATGCTCTATTCAAGAATGACCTTAAAGGTTGTCTTATCATGTGTTCCAGTATATACAAACAATTACCTTCTTTACTGGTCTAATCGAGTGTGTGTCGATATACAGTATGGGAAAGAGCTATGACACCTGCAATAATAAAAGATCTTTGCCTTATCTGAGAGACTTTCATCTTCTGGTCTGCCTCCCACACCTAAGTGAAAAATTAGGTTTCTGTATCGATAAAATACCTTAGTCTGAGAAATATGCATCTTTTGTCTGCTCCCAGTTATTACCATCAGCAGCAGTAGGCGTTCCTTCAGATAAAGCTGATGAAGCTGTAGAAGGTCGTTAACAGCAAACAAGAATGGAATGCCATAAAAATATTTACTGTCAAAGATTAGAAATCCCCAAATCTTTTCAATTACTCTAAAAAAGTTAAATCTGGTCCTCTGGACATTCAAAAAACAAAACAAAGCCAAACAACAACAAAAAAATGTAGAAACGTTTCGTCTTTCATCCGAAAGACTTCCTCAGTCTGAGGTGCTGTATTCAGCTCAGTTTTATAAATAGCACCTTCTCAGAGTGGATCAACCAGTTTTGCTGCTGACAACCAAACCAGCTGCTCACATGTTCAAGAAGGACCAACAGCCTAACGATGGACCATTAGCACACTGATGGCTGTTTACTGTTCACAGAGGGCTGAGTGATACTAGCAATCACAGCATTGTAAGAGGGGGACAGTTGAACCCGGAGGCCTCCACCCCTGTTTAATGATGGACAATTTTTTTTCACAAAGATGGCCTCCTTTACTCCTCTCTCAATTCATCGTTCCTCTCTATCCAGGATGTGAACATCTTCATCCCTGAAAGAGTGACCGCTGGCCTGGAGATGAGTGTAGACCGCAGAGTCCTGGCCTGATGATGTTGATCTTCTGTGCTGGGCCATCCTTTTGGCCAGTGGCTGTTTAGTTTCCCCGACGTAAGACTGATCACAGCCCTCCTGACACTGAACAGCATACACAACATTACTCTGTTTGTGCCGGGGGACTGGATCTTTGGGATGAACCAGTCTTTGCCGTAATGTATTTTGGGGTTTAAAAGCCACTGGGACGTTATGTTTAGAAAATGAACGTCTCAGTTTCTCTGATACTCCCTCAACATATGGAATGACCACTGGTCTGGGTCTGGGTTCCTCCTTTTCACCTGTTGGCTGACTGGAGTCCTGTTTGGGTTTCTTCTCTACTTTTAGGAAGGCCCAGTTAGGATATCCACATTGCTCTAGAGTTTGTCTTGTGTGGGATTTCTCCTTCTGCCTGGCTCCTGAGTTGGTGGGGATGCTGTCTGCTCTGTGGTACAGAGTCCTGATGACTCCTAACTTGTGCTCCAAAGGGTGATGGGAGTCAAACTGCAAATACTGGTCTGTGTGGGTGGGTTTGCGGTACACCTCAGTTTGCAAATGTCCTCCATCAGAAACTGAGACCTCATAGTCCAAGAAAGCCAACTTGCCATTTTTTACATCTTCTCGTGTGAACTTGATGTATTTATCCACAGAGTTGATGTGGTCAGTAAAATGCTGCACTTCCTGAGATTTAATTTTAACCCAGGTGTCGTCAACATACCTGAACCAATGACTTGGTGGTGTCCCTGAAAAGGACGTCAAGGCTCTCTTTTCTACCTCCTCCATGTATAAGTTGGCAACAATAGGAGAAACTGGAGACCCCATAGCACACCCATGTTTCTGCCTATAATATTGCTCCCCATATGTGAAGTAGGCTGACTGCAGGCACAGTTTCAAGAGTTGACACAGTTGTTCTGTAGAAAGTGTGGTCCTGCTGCTCAGAGTGGTGTCTGATTTTAATCTTAAACTGACCACCTCTACTGCATCATCAACAGGAATGCACGTAAAGAGTGATGTGACATCAAAAGAGATCATTGTTTCATCAGTCTCCATGATGACATCCCTCACCTTATCCACAAAGTCCATGGTGAAAGACGAAACGTTTCTACATTTTTTGTCGCTGTTTTACTTTGTTTTGTTTTTTGAATGTCCAGAGGACCAGATTTAACTTTTTTTAGATTTTTCTATCTGGATTATTGAGCATGCATCAGGATCTTTTCAATTACATTAAAATTACATTAATTACAATTATATTGTTTTGATTACAAATGTGTGCGTGGGTGGGTAGTGGCTGGGAGCAGACAAAGGATATATGTTTCTCAGACTAAGGCCTTTCATTGATCCAGGAACCTGATGAATTTTTACTTAGTCGTGAGAGAACAGAACAAAAAATGAAAGTCTATCAGATACGACAAAAACCTTTTTATTATTCCAGGTGCAATAGCTCTTTCCCATATATCAACTCCTACACTTGATCAGACCAGAAAATAAGGTTTTTGTTCGTAGATGCTGGAACACATAAGGTCTTTTAAGGTTATACCTGAATAGAGTATTTCAGTTACATACCAGGAAAATTCCATTTTCAATTCATTTTATTTATAGTATGATGTTTTCATTAACTTTGTATAATAATAATAATAATAATACTTTATTTATAAAGCCCTTTAAA